GGTGTCAGCCACCCTTCCGAGCCTGGCATATCATTGCCAGGGTGCCCCAATAAGTGTGGCAATGTATCCATTCCCTACCCCTTCGGCATCGGCGCAAGCTGTGCTGCAACCAACCTCAACTCCTACTTTGCTCTGACATGCAACGACAGCTTCCAACCACCAAGACCTATGTTACCTATGTTTGGTGACTCTCCCAGAGATGTAGAGGTCATTGACATCTCCTTGGAGCATGGTGAGGCCCGTGTTTATAGCGATGTCAGCTACATCTGCTTCAATTCAAGCACCAGATCATACAACGAAACCGCTGGGTTCAACCTGGATAGCACGCCATTCATGGCCTCCACCCGCAACCATTTCACGGTCATTGGCTGCAACACCCTCTGGCTCATCGGTGGTTTCACGAACAAAAACTCTGATGATGATCTGCATGTGGCTGGCTGCTACTCCTACTGCGAAGGCATCAACAGCACATCTGACGGGGTGCCGTGCACAGGGACAGGATGCTGCGAAACTGCCATCTCCTCCAACCTCACAGACTTCGAACCAATGATCACAATGAACGAGAGCAGTGTGGGACTTCAACCCATGCTCCTATGCGATGCTTGCCGAGGCTGGGTGGTACAGCTTCAGGAGCCAGGACCTCATCGGTCACCTTGGGTTCATCTATGACAGAGCTCCTAGAGGTGTCCCTGTCGTCATGGACTGGGCCATTAGAAACAGTTCCTGTCCCAAGGATGGGGCAAAAGCACCAGAAGACTATGCTTGTGTCAGTTCAAACAGCTACTGTGTGAATGCAAGGAATGCTACAGGGTACTTGTGCAACTGCTCTATAGGTTATGAGGGCAATCCTTATCTTCCCAAAGGTTGCAAGGGTAAGTATTTTCTTGCTGTGTAAACTAGAATTTAGAAATCAAGGTCAACAACTGCAAGAAAAAAGTCTAGCCAACACATGATTAGAGCCAATCACAGCCCAAAAATTTACTAGTTCAAGATATCAAAACTTATTTGTTACTTGTCCAACATATCTTAAGGAAACTTCATACACTGATGTACTTTGCATTTTTCCTAAATCCATATTAATATGTTTTCAAATTCTAACTTCGTTCAGATATAGATGAGTGCAAGCTGCGTAAGCAGGACGCTAGGTACAAAAAACTATATCCATGTGAAAATGGACGCTGTCACAATACACCAGGAGGCTATATATGCAAGTGCAGGATAGGAACAAGATCAGATGGTACAAATTCAGGATGCCGACCTGTGCTTATCAAAGCTGAACAGGCAGTTATAGGTAAGGATCATAATTGAGAGCAGATTTTAAATCTATCTAAGGTTTTTTTTTCTAGGTTTTGAGGCACTCACATACAGAGTAACCATTGTGCAGGTCTCAGTGTTTCTGCGGTTCTAGTGATATCTTTGACATGCTTATTGGTTATTAAATTACAACAAAGGAAGCATAGGAAGGAGAAGGATGAATATTTCAAACGAAATGGGGGTCTGAGATTATATGATGAGATGAGATCAAGGCAAGTTGACACCGTTCTCATACTCTCAGAGAACGACATCAAGAAAGCCACAGACAACTTCAGTGAAGATAATATTCTTGGATGTGGTGGTCATGGAATGGTCTACAGAGGAACTTTAGATGATAACAAAGAAGTTGCCATAAAGAAGTCTAAACTAAAGGATGATGATGACAGCAGAGAAGAATTTGTGAATGAGATAATAATCTTATCACAAATTAACCACAGGAACATTGTAAGGTTACAAGGATGCTGCTTGGAGGTAGATGTGCCGATGTTGGTGTATGAGTACATTTCAATGGTACCCTCTTTGAGTTCCTTCATGTCAATGAAAGCAGATCACCAATCCCATTGGATCTTAGATTGAAGATTGCTACACAGTCAGCAGAAGCTCTTGACTACATTCATTCAGCAACTTCTCGCACAATTCTGCATGGAGATGTCAAATCCCTCAATATACTCTTGGATGAAGAATACAATGCAAAAATGTCAGACTTTGGAGCATCCGCACTGAAGCCCTTGGGCAAAAATGATTTCGTTATGCTTATCCAAGGAACTCTTGGTTATATTGACCCTGAGAGTTTTGTCAGTCAGCGTCTGAGTGACAAAAGTGATGTATACAGCTTCGGGTTGTTCTTTTAGAGTTAATGACAAGAAAGAAGGCTGTATACATTGATACCTCTAATGAAAAGAGAGCACTATCTCATACTTTCATACAGATGTTCCACCAGAACAAGCTCCGTGATATTTTGGACAGTGAAATAGTACAGAATGAAGTAATGATAGTACTTCAGAAACTAGCTGAACTTGCCATGCACTGCCTGAGCCCAAAAGGAGATGAGAGGCCAACGATGAAGGAAATTGCAGAGCGACTACGAATGTTGAGAAGGCTCGACATTCTTAAGGAGGGCCATCAGCATATCTCCTCCCTTCAGATGAGACGGAAGACCTGAGTTTGGAGACAACCAAACTGGTTTTGGAGGTTGTTGTCATGGGCGGAACCAGAGAAAAAAAACTAAGGGGCAGCCAAGATGAAGGTAAGGCATGGACACAATAACTTCAAGAACTCCTTCACTTTGAAATAACTACTACAACCATGGCTGAAGCAGGAGTATTTAAAAAAAAATCAGACCATAGGGGGGACCTTGGACCCTACTAGCCCCCCTGGTTCCGCTAGTGGTTGTTGTGGACTCCTTTGTGGGCTGGCAATACCGCCAGCGACCGTGCCACCAGAGGAGCCCAAATCGTGGCTAAGTCCAGGCAGGCAAGTAGCTGCACAGCTGGAGGTTGTGGGAAGGAAAATAGGATCTACAGTTAGGAGAGATAATAGGAGATTGGTTATTTAAGTGCACCTGTCGTATAAAAGGCACTCAGTTAGTTTGTAATAGGCATCAAGAGAAATAAACCTTCCCTGGGAAGGGTGTGGGTTTTCTCTCGACGGTGGCGACGGAGCCTTCCGACGCCGCCGCCATCGCCCACAACCGGCCTCCGGTTCCCAGATATCCCCTGCGTTCTTCTTCCCAGTCTCAACTGCTCTTGCATTCTCCCCTGCGCTCTACGCATTGCCCACGCCGTACAGAGGTAGACTTTGCAAGATAACTACATGCAACGTCGCCCCAATTTCTTTTGATGGTTTAAATTTTGCGATGCATAAAAATTGTTTTATGTACTTGCCATACGTTTGTGTGTGTGCACATCAAAATCATCACTCATGTGCTGCAATCTGTCAGAATTAACTGCATCTATAGTCTAAATTGAAACTCTATTTGGGCGTTGAATTAACTTGGTCACATGTACATGTATTCCAAGATTTTCTTACACATTCATTAGAGCAACCTTTCTCCAGATCCAAGATTTGAACATACTGGATTATCATAGATACATATGCAAGAAATGAGTGGTTTAATCAAATCTATGCTACAATGGTAGCCTACATTGTACAGCATTCCATTCCTCACCCCCCTACAAAGGCTGGGTGCTACATGGAAATTGGAACCTCAATGGACAACTGCAGTTTATTCGGTACTATGCAGTATCTTATTCTACCAAAAGAAAAACGAGTAGAATAGAAAGGCAAAACAGCTACAAAGATTGCATGACCGAAAGAACACAAACACAAAGCATTTTGAATTGTGGTTGAACAGACAGATTAAGCAGCAAACCTTATCATAGAACCAGAATCCAGCAGACTGTAGATATGCAATCGCCAGGACCTAACTTCAGGCTATCCATTCCGTGCCCGTACAGTTTACAGCGAGCTCGGTACAACTACAAAAGGCAAATATAAGGTGATTATTCGAGTAAGGGCTTAGCATCACACTCGTGCTCACTTGAGGGGGCAGAGGATGGAGAGGCAGGGGCACAGCTCGCGCGGTAGGGGAGCAGACAGCAGAGGAAACGGAGGTGCGTGTGGGCGAGGCCGCGGCTGTACGGGAAGGCGGCGGCGACTGGGTGCGGGGTCGGACGTTTATGGAGAGGCTCACGTGCTAAGCACGTTCTCGAAAAAAAATATATGGAGAGGCTCCGCCAGGCGCCACCGCCGCCGGCTTGCCGAAGGGCAAAGCCTCCCGCCGGCCGACGACAGCTCTCGTCGAGCCGGCGATGTGAGCGAGAGCGGAGCGCGGTCCACCAGCTGGCCGGCCCGTCAAGTGGCAGTCGCGGGCGGACGGCACAGCCCATGAGAGAACTGTCTGTCGGCGTCTTCATACGGCCCATCGTGAGCAAGGCCCATCGTTGTGGGCTTGTGTCGATTATACAGTTTCGTTACATCACATTTGTACGGTTACCACATTTGTTTGGTGACATCCACTCAAAAAAAAAAAAACATTTGTTTGGTGACACATATAGCTGTAGAGGTCATCACATTTGTAAGGTCCTGTTAGCTACAGCTGCTACCGTCATATGGCCTGTATGTAGCTGGTTGCTACTCCTACTGTAAGGCATTGCGAGACCACCATCTCCTCCAATTGTTCAATCAAAGCAGCGTGTGGCAATTCAACTCATGCTTCTGTGCGATGCTTGTCGAGGAAGGACGGTACAGCTTCAGTAGGCAGGATGCCTGGTGTAACTACGAAAACTAGAGTGGTTTCAGGGTTGAGATTTGCCTGACAAGACAATACCATAAGCAGACTTAGGACCTGTTCGTTTGGAGGAATTTGGATGGTTTAGAGGAATGCTGGAGGAATTTGTAAGAGAAAAACACTGTTCCGGATGAAAAAAAGAAACGGATCAAGCCAAGTTTAAGGACACGCGAACGGGGCCTTACATTCCAGAACAAACACCTTTAGTACGTACTATCAGAATTATGTCACATACCAACTCCAGTGCAAGTACCAGCAACCGCACGGAAAACTTGCTGATAATCAGTCCATGAATCCACTATATATATAAACATCTTTCATCAACTACATATATAATAGGTAAATAAAAAAGATCTGCATCAGTCAGACATGAAAACAAACGACACAATGCCACGCGCTACTCTTCCATAGCGTAATCTTCTGTCTGCTGCTGAACAACTTTGACCTTGATCTTTGTTTTCTCAGCTGCGAGCTCGTTGCTAATAAGCTTCTTCGGAAGCATACCGATGTCCTGTGCCACCTCCTTAGAATCTTTTTGGATCTCCTTGCGTTTACCAGGTTTATGTCTGTCAAAACATGTATTCCATGTTAGAAGACAGGAAAATCCTTGCAAAATCGAACAGACAACAAAATTGGAGTAAAAGAACGGACCTGTTTGAAATGTGCTTTTCCAGACGGTCATGCCTAGTCTTTATAATAAGTGGGATAGCCTTCAGAGTTTGCTCCGTCAAATTGCGGTCATAGCGCTCAGGCCTGTTCCTCTTCCTCTCAAACTCAAAAGTTGCATCCTGGTAAATTTCAAATTATATTCAGTCATGGTTTGAATGAATAGGAAGAAACATGACCGACCTTCGTTATTACACGATATCAGAAACAACAAAGTGGTTACTAACCTGGGTCATGTCCTTGACATGCAATTGCCTGTATGCTTTTGTCCACTTAACCTTACGAGGATTCCTCTTCATCTTAAAATTTTTATGGCACTTTGACCGGCAAAAGCGGAAGATCTGGCAAGGAGAAGAAATATCAATATTTTAAGGCAACAAAAGCATATGCATTGCCTTATTTTGCTCTCAAGTATTCATGCAATACAAGTTTCACTTTAGTTTAACAGTCAAGAAATATAAGAAACAAGATAAATTTGAGCATTAAAACCAGCTCCCGCAGGCTCGGAGGATGCCCACAGAGCTTCGAGACAGGTGCTTTAACTGTCTCTCCTACTCACACCGAGTAGCGACTTGTCGGCTGCCAAGGCGTTGCCTGTGCTGTCACGGCTTCGGTCACCTCGCTAGGGACTGCAAGTGGTCTAGCTCTGCGACGTTGTCGACGAAGGGTGGCAAGCCACGCCACTCTCCTCGTGATGTCACGCCGGCCTCCCAGCACGCGCCACGCAACGGTCCACCCTCGGACGGGGCCGCGCAGGGGGCCGTGGGGGGTGTCGGCAGGACCGGCCGACGATGACACCAGCGGCGGCGCCGGAGTAAGCCGGCGAGGGACATCACCATGGGCACGCTTGCCAACTACAACGACAACGTCGCTGCTTCTGCTACTACACTCTGCCCTCCTAAGCCTGATCTGCTAGCGTTGGCGATGTGCGCAAGCGCGGGAACTCCCACATGGGTCGTCTCGGTCAACCCGATGCTGGAGGAGCTCGCCGCCTCGCTCGCCTTGAGCCAGCCAGCGGGATCACCAGCGTGTGGGTGTCTACCTACCCAGGCGGCAGCCCCTCAGGAGGTTGAAGCACCGTTGGTGGACACCCGTTCTTTGGCGACGGCTGCTCAGGTGACGACGGACTCGCCTCTGTTGTCGTAAGTGCAGGGGCTCCCACAACTCACGCCACCACGGGTGGGACAACCCTACGTCGCAGATGAGCCCACCCCTGGCAACGCGACGCCCACACCACGGGAGGCTGCTCGACGTCTCGCACGGTTCACCGAGGAAGTGCAGCTTAAGCGGTAGTCGCCATTAATCGTCAGTCCACCAAGGCAGAAGGAGGCAACCACAAGGCATTCCCTGCCGCTCAGGAGCAGACGGATTGCCACTTAGCCGCTGGCGCACATACCGACCGCCAAGTGGGGTGAGGTACTCCTCATGCAGAGGATGGGCATCGTGCCGCCGGCAGCTCCAGTTTCATCCGCGTCCATTTCGCAGGGAACTTGACGCCGAGCCACGTGGAAGCTCTGGACGAGCTGTTCCCAGCAACCAACAACAGGGCTGGTAGAAGAGCGCTCTTCTCGGACGGCGGAGTAGGGCCGCGTAGCCAAGAGCGGAGACGCCCGGCTTCGTAGGTTGCTGCGCTACTCTTAGTTCGGTTGTATACCATTTATGTAATATCGAAGTTTGAAGCAGTATACTAGGATGGTCCAGTCACAGTTGTAAGACCTAGAGCGCTCATCAGAAGCGTGTTATTTGTACGGTTAAACTCTTCTTCTTAATTACAATGATACGCAAGTCTTTTGCGTATTCGAGAAAAAAGAAATCATAATCCATGGGGACAGACATAACAAATCAGTCAAAAAATTACAACATCGCATTTTACGTTTCAATTTCAGTCCACAGGAAAAATATAACATCACATGTTACGTTTCAATTTCAATCCACAAGAAAAATATAACATCGCATTTTACGTTTCTATTTCAATCCACAAGGAAAATATAAACTCTGAATATTTTAATAGGGATAATCATCAATCAAGAGAAGAATGTAAACTGATGGGTCATATTTAAACACAGCTAATGAAGAATCTTTATAAAGTTTAAGCAAAAAGTTTCATTTAAATACAGCAACAAAATAAAAGATCCAACTTGGAATAATAGTTAAAGATTGTAGTTTGACCATCCGTCCAATATAACACTACGAGGTGGTGCTTACAAGGCAAATTGATGTTTAGTAACTAAGCAACTTCAACACCTGAAAGTATTACATTTTAGGCACATAAAATTTTCAAAGGTATGTTTGTCGCAACTACCAAAATACCATATCGTTCCTTGAAGAACACTGTACGTTCCTAACAAATACACATTACAAAGACCTAACAAGCCTACATATTCTTATATCGCAGACCTAACAATGTGGTATTTAATTTTTCCCTTGAATTCATCAAGGAAGCCACTTTTCACAGAATACAATAAATAACGTATTGGACTCAAAGCAGTACAAATAAGCTTTGTATTGTTCCCTGAAGAACACTGTACATTCCTAACAAATACACATACACATTACAAAGATCTTAAAAGCTTACATGTTCTTATATCGCAGACCTAACAGTGTGGTATTTAATATTTTCCTTGAATTTATCAAGGAAGCCACTTCTCACAGGATACAATAAATGACAATTATGGGACTCAAAACAGTACAAATAAGCGTTATTGCAGAACCAGGATAGCACATAAATGAATAAATGGATTAATTAGAAATTACATGCAAAATGAAATGGAAAACAGAATTACGCATGCTGGAACAGTACAAACCATACAAACAAATTTTGTTAGATCTTCATGTGCACTGACTTAACTACGTTCATCAAGAAACAACAGCAGAAGGGAAACCCCCATTGGACAAAGAGGAAAGAACTCTTTTGTCCAACTGTCTCACAAATAAAGCAGGTAACTAAGGTAGAATCTATAGCTGGTAGTCCCAAAACCAGATATTGACTCTTATTTTTTCCTACAATGCAGTGATCCAGAAACAAAATTATAACCATAAGAAAATACTTTCAGACGTGAATCCAATGATATCATTTCCATACTAACAAAATGTTCATCTTTTGAGGCTAGTTGTTGGTTGAAGATTACAAAATTTGGCTTAATGCGCACGAGCGTGAGCTTAATGCACACGAGCCTTTATAAAATGAAGTGGACGGAATAGCCAAACTACCAATCAGTGGTACAGTTACCATGCATGTAAGCTGCAGCTTCTCAGCCAAATAATTAGGTTTCTTAAGTTTCTCAGGTGAAGACCAGAGTTTGGTTCTAACATCTTTTATGCCGTGTTCAGTGTTTACAACGAAGCAATTCTATGCATTATAAGCAGTGCCATGCCATGTGATTTACATCTACATCTAATTAGTAGCAGCAGCAACAACAACAATAACAACACAACCATTCAATCCCAAGCAAGTTGGGGTAGGCTAGAATTGAAACCCACCAAGAGCCCCAAGTCACGGTTCAGGCACTTCAATAGCTACTTTCCAAGCACTCCTATTCAAATATAGATCTCTAGGTATATCCCAAGCTTTCAAATATCATTTTATTGCCTCCCCTCATTTTAATTTCGGTCTTTCTCTACCTCTCCTCATATTATTAGCTTGGCTTAGGACTCCACAATGCACTGATGCCTCCGGAGGTGTCCTTTGGACATGGCCAAACCACCTCAACCGATGTTGGACAAGCTTTTCTTCAATTTGTGCTACCTCTAGGCAATCACATATATCATCGTTCCAAACTCGGTCCATTCTTGTGTGACCGCAAATCCATCGCAACATACGCATTTCTGCAACATTCAGTTGTTGAACATGTCGAATCTTTGTAGGCCAACATTCTGCTCCATATCCATACATCATAGCCGGTCTAATCGCCGTTCTATAGAACTTGCCTTTTAGCTTTTGTGGTACTATCTTATCACAGATAATACCAGAAGCTTGTCGCTACTTGATCCATCGTGCTTTGATTCTATGGCTAACGTCCGCATCAATATCTCCATCCCTCTGTAGCATCGATCCCAGATACCGAAAGGTATCCTTCTTATACACTAGTTGACCTTTCAAACTCACATCTCCCTCCTCCTGTACAACTCCGCCAAAGTCGCATCTCATGTATTCGGTTTTAGTTCTGCTCAATCTAAAACCTTTAAACTCAAGGGTCTGCCGCCATAACTCTAGTTTCCTATTTACTCCCGTCTGGCTTTCGTCCACTAACACTACATCATCAGCGAACAACATACACCAAGGGATATCCCCTTGTATGTTTCTGGTAACATTATCCATTACCAAGGCAAAGAAATACGGGCTTAAGGCTAACCCTTGATGAAGTCCATCGTTTGTTCGAATACTAGTCACAACATTGTTGTACAGATCCATGATGAGGGTCATGTACTTTGATGGGACTTTATGGTTATCCAAAGACCACCACATAACATTTCTTGGTATCTTGTCATAAGCCTTCTCCAAGTCAATAAAAATCAAATGGAGGTCATTCTTCTGCTCCCTAAACCGCTCCATAACCTGTCTTATTAAGAAGATTGCTTCTATGGTTGACTTTCTGGGCATGAAACCAAATTAGTTTGTTGATATCTGCGTCGTTCCTCGCAGGCGCTGCTCGATGACTCTCTCCCATAACTTCATAGTGTGGCTCATCAATTTAATTCCCTGATAATTAGTATAACTTTGGATACCTCCCTTGTGTTTTATAGATTGGTATCAATATGCTTTTTTCCCACTCCTTAGGCATCTTGTTCGATCGAAAGATATTGTTGAACATCTTGGTTAGCCGTACTATAGCTATATCCCCGAGACATCTCCACAGCTTGATTGGGATACCATCAGGGCCCATCGCTTTGCCCCCTTTTATCCTTTTCAAGGCTTCTCTGACCTCTTATTCTTGAATCCTCCGCACAAATCGCATGTTAGTATCATCAAACGAGTCGTCCAGCTGAACGGTGGTGTTCTCGTTCTCACCATTAAATAATTTATCAAAATACTCTTGCCATATATGTCTGATCTCATCCTCCTTCACCAAGAGCTGCTCCATCTCATCCTTTATGCACTTGACTTGGTTGAACTGCTTTGTCTTTCTATCGCGAGCCCTAGCCATCATATAAATGTCCTTCTCTCCTTCCTTCGTACTCAAACATCGGTAAAGGTCCTCATAGGTCCGCCCATTTGCCTCGCTCACCGCTCGTTTTGCAGTCTTCTTTGCCACCTTATACTTCTCTATGTTGTTTGCACACCTGTCATGATACAAGTGCT